AACAAATTAAGAAATTAAGTGATTGAAAAGATATAAAACAATAAAAAATTAATTCACAAACAAAGCACGAGCGTAATATAAACGCAGAACAAACCGTTATACCGTTTTAACAAACTCAATAAGCAAAGAGCGAAAAGCAACCGGTTGCGATGACAGTTCGACGGTGAATGAACAAAATAATTAAAATAAAGCTTTATTCGCAATAAATATTAAAAAAATTAATATACAAAAACGTTATAGTGAAGCGTTAGTAAGTGAAAAGTGCATAATATAAGTGAAAAAGTTATTCACAATGTACAGATTATCAATTTAAAAGTTGTCGTTTTTTTTACTTTAATTGCAATTATCTTTAAAACTATAAGCCAGCCGCCATTATATATATTTTCGTGATCTGGAGAACGTCACCTTTCCAGTGATATCCATTTCACGAATTTTGCGAATTTTTGAACTTTAAGGTCGAATATCTCCTAAACTAAGCGTTTGCGGTACCTATAACCCTGAATATTTTTTAATCAGGAGGACTTCCTCTTTCCAACAGTACCTTCAGATCGCGGCGCCAAAGAAATCGGAATTGTGCCCTTACCGCTATTCACAGTCGAGCTATCATCACCTTCAAAGAAATTCTGCCACCTGTCCCACTTTTTAATTATATTTCTGATAACGCTCCGATTTCAGAACTTTTTTTTGTTAACTTTTTTCATAAATAACTTTTTTTTATCCGCCAGTGGCTACTAGTATAATATATACTGTATACCTTAGCCGATCACTCGTAGTCGAGGTCTTCTAGTAGTTTAATAACCAAAAAGATGCGCCTGCAACAAACACCAACTCTATCAGCCAATTTAACCGCAAATTAATAGCTTCACATGATTAGCTATTCCTACTTGTTTATTGTCGTTTAAAAAAATAAATTTAAAAAATATTTACGTTCGACCTTTGCTCCAGTGTTATGAAACAAACTTATATATTGAAAATAACGTTATCCATTTAAAAATTACCTCAAAATTAGCATTAGCATCGACTTTCTTCTTAGTTGCGATTATAACGGTAGCTGAAGGCCTATAAGAAAGTTTATTACACTTATACTCCATATTACACTTTGAGTCAAAAGTTATTATTTCCGGCACTGGATTGTATTAACCTTTATTCAATTACGCAATTTAGAAACAATGCATACGCACTTAAGACAGTAATAAGAGGCCAAATTAATTAATTTTACTCTGTTGCTTTCTTTTCCGAAAACAAATAACAGCTGACTATTAACACTATCTCCAACTTATAACGAAGCATTTCGACAAGATTAAACTTATGTCATACTAATCGTATTGCCTATTGCCTGTGGGTACTCCATATTGCTTATTGCTTACAATATATGAAATACTGTCACTTTACCAGTTTGACAACGCTGTTTTCATTTCGATGAAAATTTCGAAAAGGCAACATATCCCATTTGCACATATGCCGACGAAATTTGAAATTACGAGTATTAAAACAGTAGTGTTATATTATAAAAATAAAATACATTTACAAAATAACATATTTCCAAAAAATTAATATTCAGTTTAATATTGCTAATTTACAAAAAAAATTAAGCAAATTGGGTTGAGAATGAGCGAAGTCTTTAATTTAATAAACTTATACACCCGTAAATTAAAATATCATTGCTAATATTAAATTTGTTATTTTAATTGGTATATAACATTTATGCCACAATTATTATATAGTAGTCAAAAATATGACTTCTAATTTTTCCCAGAAAACAAATTTATAAGAAAAGGATCTTTATCTTTTTTTTCCACATAAATGATTTAAACATTTCAAGAGTTCACACAAATGCCACCTACCGATTTTGCAATGGGTATGGCAAAAAATATGACAGTTAATATGACATAAATTTCATCCTGTCGAGATGCCCCGTGACAATTATTGGTTTATCGCTCCTGTTCAATATTTATTGGGGACTGCTACACGTTCAATACATGTATATTGATCGCGAACCAGCATTGATATATGATTAAATATCCCTGCCAGACGGGTACCCGATAGCAAACGTGTAAGCGACTTGTATTTGTTAATTTGTTCAGACATTTGGTATTCAATGACTTCTCGCTCTAACCAATTGAAAATATTTCATGCTGTCTTGCTCTATGTTACCTCTTATAAGGGGACCTTGGTTGCTATGTTTTGGATAACACAATTACATACATTCGTTATCGTATCTGCATAGATAATATGATAAGAGACTCTTTGATTCGAGAGAGAGCTGTCAAACCTCGCATTTTTTATAACATTTGCCAATAATGCCACTGCTGAAAAATATTAGATTGGGTAGTAAATAAATTATACAAAACACTAAATTAAACACTTTGAAAATGCATACATATATAAATGCTAAAATGAAAAATCATTAATTAATTTACATAAACATTTATTTTGCCAAAAATATGTTCGCACAGTTCAATGAAATTTCATTTCACACTAATTTCGTCAGGTAATTACAGCGGTTTACTTCTGGCCTCCCGCCTTTTCTGAAATCAACTGTCAGAAATTCCCTGATCTCCATCGCCGTCAAATAATCAGGGAATGCGTTTGAGAGAAAAAGAGAGCCAATGCTAGAGTCTCGTATCATATTATCCATGGTATCTGTTTACAATCGATTAAGATAACAAAAAGCTTTGATAGCAAAGGGGTTCTTCTTCTTCCTCTTAATTGGCGTAGACACCGTTTGCGCGATTATAGGCGAGTTAACAACAGAACACCAGTCGTTTCTTCTTTACGCTACGTGGCGTCAATTGGATATTCCAAGCGAAGGCAGGTCCTTCTTCACCTGGTCCTTTCCACAGAGTGGAGATCTTCCCCTTCCTCTGCTTTCCCCGGCGGGWACAGCGTCGAATACTTTCAGAGCTGGAATGTTTTCGTCCATCCGGACAACATGACCTAGCCAGCGTTGCCGCTGTCTTTTAATTCGCTGAACTATGTCAATGTCGTCACATATCTCATACAGCTCACGTTCCATCGAATGCGATATTCGCCGTGGCCAACGTCCAAAGGACCACAAATCTTTCGCAGAACTTTTCTCTCGAAAACTCGCAACGTCGACTCATCAGTTGTTCTCATCGTCCAAGAATCTGCATCATATAGCAGGACGGGAATTATTAGTGACTTATAGAGTTTGAGTTTTATTCGTCGAGAGAGAAGTTTGCTAGGCTGACATTGCTGGTGGTGTGTACGCTGGTTCCAAGATAGACGAAATTATCTACAACTTCAAAGCTACGACTGTCAACAGTGACGTGAATGCCAAGTCGCGAGTGCGACGACTGTTTGTTTGATGACAGGAGATACTTCGTCTTGCCCTCGTTCACTGCCAGACCCATTTGTGTTGCTTCCATGTCCAGTCTGGAGAAAGCAGAACCAACGGCGCGGGTGTTGACGCCAATGATATCAATATCATCGGCATACGCCAGAAACTGTACACTCCTATAGAAGGTGGTAACTTCTCTATTTAGTTCTGCAGCATGAACTTTTTTCTCCAGAAGCAGGTTGAAGAAGTCGCACGACAGGGAATCGCCTTGTCTGAATCCTCGTTTGGTATAGGTAGATCCTTCCCGATTCTGATGGAGCTTTTGGTGTTGCTCACCGTCGGAATACCAAATTCAGACATCGCGGCATAAAGGCAGCTCCTTTTCGTACAGCTTTGAAATCGACGAAGAGGTGATTTGTGTCGTTTCTCCTTTCACTCGTCTTTTCCAAGATTTGGCGCGTGGTGAATATCTGGTCGGTTGTTTTTTTTTCCAGCTCTAAAGCCACAGTGATAAGGTCCAATTAGTTTGCTGACGGTGGGCTTTAATCTTTCACACAATACGCTCGATAGAACCTTATATGCGATGTTGAGGAGGCTAATCCCACAGTAGTTGGCGCAGATTGTGTGGTCTCCTTTTTTGTGGATTGGGCATAGCACACTTAAATTCCAATCGTTGGGCATGCTTTCGTCCGACCATATTTTACAAAAAAGCTGATGCATGCTCCTTATCAGATCTTCGCCGCCGTGTTTGAATAGCTCGGCCGGCAATCCATCGGCCCCCGCTGCTTTGTTGTTCTTCAGGCGGGTAATTGCTATTCGAACTTTTTCCTGGTCGGGCAATGGAACGTCAGCTCCATCGTCATCGATTGGGGCATCGGGTTCGCCTTCTCCTGGCGTTGTGCGTTCACTGCCATTCAGCAGGCTGGAGAAGTGTTCCTTCCATAATTTAAGTATGCTCTGGGCATCGGTGACTAGATCACCTTTGGGGGTTCTACAAGAGTATACTCCTGTCTTGAAACTTTCTGTAAGCAACCGTATTTCTTCGTAGAATTTTCGAGCATTACCCCTGTCGGCCAGTTTATCAAGCTCTTCGTACTCACGCATTTCRGCGTCTTTTTTTTTCTGTCTACAAATGCGTCTCGCTTCCCTCATCAACTTTCGGTATTTATCCCATTCCGCACGTGTTGTGGTCGATCGTAACGTTGCGAAATACGCAGTCTGTTTACTGTCCGCAGCGGCACGGCACTCTTCGTCCTGCCAGCTGTTTCCGAAAACTAATGGTTTCGGTTGACGAGTGCTCCCAGAGAGCAGGAGTGTAAGCCGAGTAGAAAATCTTTCGGCTTTCTGTTGTGATTGCAGCACCTTTCTTATGTTTGTTGACTTACGCTTTTTGCTGCACAGAGGCGGGTGCGAATCTGGGCTGTAAAAAGATAGTGGTCCGAATCGATGTTAGGACCTCGTGCCTTCCGTTAATCAGAACATGATCGATCCGATTGGGGGCTTTTCGATCTGGAGACAACCAGGTTGCTTGATGTATTTTCTTGCGCTGGAATCTAGTACCACAGATCACTATATTTCGGCCCCGGCGAAGTCGATCAGCCTCAATCTATTTGGGAATGCTTCATCGTGGATGCTGAATTTACCGACCGTAGTGCCAAAGATACCTTCTTTGCCCACCCTGGAGTTAAAGTCGCCAAGCACGATTTTGATATCGTGGCGGGGGCAGCTCTCAGAGGTGCGATCCAAGCACTCATAGAAGGTATCTTTGGACACATTGTCCTTCTCTTCCGTCGGGACATGGGCGCAAATCAACGATATTTTTGATGCGAATTGTGGCTAGACGTTCATTCACCGGGGTGAATGATAGTACTCGGCGACGAAGTCTCTCTCCCACCACGAATCCCACACCAAACTTGCGCTCTTTTATATGGCCACTGTAGTAAATGCCACAAGGACCTATTCGTCTCTATCCTTGTCCCATCCATCGCATTTCATAGACGGTGGTGATGTCAGCCTTTATTTTTTCGAGGGCATCAACCAGCTCATCCCCATCCTCACTTGCGTGAACTTCTACACATGACTCCATCCTTCAAAACGGGTTAAATATGTGTAAAGCACCTGGCCCAAGGCCTTTTGGCTTCACTAGCTTTGGTGTGAGAGCTGTCAAAGCTGACTAGAACTATGCCAGAGCTTATGACCACATGTACTTCTCCTTCAAGTGATGAACACATTGAACGCGACACACCATGACAGTGAACTGAAAATGGCGTCGTGAATCCTTGTACATGAATATTTCTGAGAAAGCAGCAACAAAACAATGGCGAGCATGTACTCAAGCCAACACAGCTGTCCATTTTGCATGTGTACAATTTCGCTGTGGCCATACTAATACCTTGCACTTCAATGAAATTTTAATATTTTGTTAAAAGTGAAACCTGTTATGCAAAAAATTTGTAAATAGGTAAATTTATTTGTTTCAAATTATCAATTTTTATTAAAAATGATATAAAAGAGCTATTTTATACATTTATTTGTAGAATAACGTCAGGTTTGCTAGAGCTTTGAATAATTTTACATTTCACATATTAGTGGCATCACCACTCTGCCTCATCTCTCTACTGTCAACTCTACTGTCGTTGGCATACAAGAATGGTAGGAAAAGATATTACGCAATGCGCTTGTTTGCTTTCAGTCAGCTGTTCTTGCAGCCGTCACGGTTGACTTATTATTCGCCCGCGCCTTTGAATGTGAATTCGAATTGTACTTCCGAGTGAAGTATTAATTGAGAAATTTTATATAATAATGACAATGTTAAAAATAGTACTACGCAGTGGAGATTTTTCTATTTCCCTAAGGATAAAACAGTACTAAAACATTTTTGTCGTCGGGGGACAAAATTAATGTTAAAAATGCGTTCATTTGTGAAGCCAGAAGCCTCCGAAAGCAACTTGCAGTTTATAATGGGTAATTATATCATTTT